ACTAGAGAAGAAAACAAAGTGGAAATTTTAGAAAGCAAAGTGGTTCGCAACGTGGTTTTTTTTACGTTCAAAGTGGAAAACAGAGTGGATTTCATTTTTACAAAGTGGAAGACCACTTTGCTCTCATGGGGACCACTAATCATTAGAAACACTGGATGTTACTTAGTTCTATCCCTTGTACACTTTTTATGCTACATTTTTCTACAGTGTGAGACGGGTGTCCGTCATCGTATGATACCCACAAAGATGAATTCAGTTGATAATCATTCACCGCAATGTTGAAAGTTAATCCGAATCTCAGATGAAAATATGTCCGGATATCTTGAGATCAACACGAAAAACTTCGAAAAATTATTCGCAACCTGCCATGAATTGAAACCATCCTTGCTTTTTAACGATCACACGCGTCGATGACCGTCAAAGTGTTACGGTGATGGGCATGGTTGTACAATCACATTTTTTCTGATGTCAGACCAAAAGCATGGAGTGATCATACTAAAAGCCTAAACGGTCATGGTACAAATCTGGCATTGAATTTTTGCCGTAGCACTTGTAACACTTACCGTTTACTTTTTTGAAGTGATCGAGATACTTTAGAAAGGCAGTCGTCAGTTAAGTTATCGAATTCTCTATACCTATTTAGCAACATGATTCATCGATAACCTTAACAGGCGAATGGAAAATTATTTCTGTCAATAGAATACGAATCTGAGTCCCTCATTATACTGTTATTTCTTACTTTTCCCACTAAATTTTTACTTCAAAACACCTCAAAGCAAATAAGCAATCAACTTAAATCTTAGTTTTACGAGGCTGATAAATAATAGATGGCAGTGAAGTACCGAGTACAAGTCGAGATGTATGAATGGAATTCAAAAATCAATGCAAAATATTTAGTTACTTTATCATTCATTCTGCTACCATGCAGTCGTTACTTATGCTGCTTTCTCACAACTTAATCAGCTGAGCACTGCTTAGCACATACGACATACATATGTACACAACTTTTGAGATTGAGGATTCGTTTCATTTTTTTCCACTCCGAACGCTATACTAATCGGTCATATGTTTGATGATTATTATGTTATATATTCATTATCAATTTTCTCTAGGTCGACTGCTCTGTTTTTTTTTATCAAAGACCGTCGACGGACGAAAACCGATTTGACTTTATTTTTTGTCAATATGTTTCATGTACTCATTTCTTTCTACCAGTTGTTCTGTACAAGAACTCTTTCCCACATTCTAGATTTTGCTCGTCTTGCAAACAAACGTGTGAATATAAATTTTTTATTCTTTAATCGTGCTTTGTAATTAGGAAAAAAATAGTATTATTACAGTAAGTAATAGAATATATTGTAATACTTAATTTTTCCTGACCGAGAAAGAATAAAGCTAAACGCTCATATCCTAAGCGAGAAAATCCAGGCATTTTTGTTTCAAAATAATAGAAACCAATCAAAAGTTGTTAAAGCTGTTTTTCTGCGCTTTGTTTTCATTGCTGATAAGCTCAAACGCTCGAGCTGTTATATTTTTCTTCTCTTGCAGAATGTCAGCACAAAAGACCACCAAATTTGATGAAGTATGGGAAAAACTATTGACTGGTATTCGTCAAATATATGATCACCAAGCTATGCAACCACCGGCTTGGATGGAGTTATATACTCACGTTTACAATTATTGTACATCAACAACTCTTCCGATTTCTCCGGCAATTAAACTAACGGGGCGTCGCACTGCTGAACAACCAGCAAGATATTCACCACAAAATCGAACAACCGCTTCGGATGGTGCAAATATTGTTGGTGGAGAATTATATTCGAAAATAAATCAGTTTTTGAATAATTATTTAGAAGATTTGAGACAAGTATGATCCGAATTGAGCAATATAATCTAGATAATAGAGTTTATCCTTGTATTGCAGCATGGAGTTGATTTACAAGATGAAGCTGTACTCAGTTTCTATACCGATCATTGGGAAAAGTATCAATTTTCAAGTCGTGTGCTTCACGGTTTTTGTTCGTATTTAAATCGTCATTGGGTTCGACGTGAATATGAATCTGGTAGAAGAAATATCTATGAAATATTTACAGTATATTATTGACGAAATCGGTATTTTTTGGAAAATAAATATTTATTGTTTTGTTCTAGTTGTCCATGGCTATTTGGCACGAAGTTTATTTTAAACCATTGAATACACAAGTGACAAGTGCCTGTTTGAAATTGATACAAAGTGAAAGAAACAACGAAGTTATTAATAGCCGATTGATTGCTGGAGTTATACAAAGTTATGGTAAACACAAAAAAATAAGGATCTTGTATTGTTAAAAAGATAAGCGCACTCTTTTGTTTTAGTTGCACTGGGTTTCAATGACGAAGTATCATCGACAGCCAGTGCACAAATGACAACACCAACATTAAATGTTTACAAAGAATACTTTGAAAATCAATTTTTGGTTGATACTGAACGTTATTATAAACTAGAAGCAGCAAATTTTCTCATAAGTAATTCAGTCACGGAATATTTGAAAAAGGTATTGACAAAAAACGTTTCAACTAACAGAACGTTTAGAAAGACCCGTGTTTATTCCAGGTTGAAGCTCGTTTAAATGAAGAAGTACATCGCGTCTCATCCTATTTGAATCCATCAACATTGAATCCATTGATTAGAAAATGTGAAGATGTACTTATTCGGGATCAATTAGAAGCAATTTATGTTGAATGTAAAACATTATTGAATAATGAAAAAAATCAAGGTAAAAAATGTATCTCGTAATGGTCAGTCAAGTTGCATTATTATTTGTCGTTCTTTTTTTATAAAGATTTAGCAAGATTATTCAAATTAGTCAGTCGTGTACAAAATGCAAATAATGAATTAAAAAAAATTGTTGAAGAACATATCTATACAAAAGGAATGGAAGCTATTCAAGCTGTTAGTGCTCAAGCAATCAACGTAAGGATAAGATTAAAATACTAATATTCAATATCTTGTAATATTTTGTTATTGTTGTTTTGTTTAGGATCCAAAAACATATGTACAAACAATTCTAGATGTTCATAAAAAATTTTTGACACTTGTTCAAGAAGCGTTTAGTGGTGAACAAGGATTTACAGCTGCATTGGATAAAGTATATAAACTCGTCTTTTGGGGTCTTTCTCATTACTAACATTGTTTCCACTGTTCTTCTTAGGCCTGTGGAAAATTTATTAATAATAATGCAGTTACAGTTAATGCCGGAGGAACACAAAAATCACCGGAATTGTTAGCGCGTTATTGTGATTCTTTATTGAGAAAAGGGTAAGTTATTCATAGATTTTTAGTTAAAGAAGACTTGTACAGAGATCTATGACTATTCTACGTGCTGTTTCATATCAAAAACGTTAGCAACACATTAATTTAATCAGCTTACATTTGTTTTATTTGTTAGCCATCGCACAAATACTATGGTTGGTCACTTCTGAAACTTTTATACTGTGAACTGAGCTTCAGTAGTAGTGTTACAGAGTTTTCTCAAATCGATGTATCACGATTCTACGTTTTTCAGCCTTTCTCTAGCTCAAGATTTACGAACTTCTTTTGATCATCATTGTACTTTTTAGTGACTTTTTGTCATTGATGGTATCCTAATAAATCATTCTTTTATATCGTACTCTGTGACTCATCATTATGTGTTTCTTAATCAATACATTTATTTTAGAACAAAAACTGCAGATGAGACTGATCTTGAAGAAATATTGAATCAAATAATGGTCGTATTCAACTATATTGAAGATAAAGATGTTTATCAAAAATTTTACGGTAAAATGTTAGCCAAACGTTTAGTTGGACAATTATCAGCATCAGATGACTCAGAGGAATCGATGATATCAAAATTAAAAGTAAATCTATTTTCTACGAAAAATAGTCCTTTTTTTTAATGTTGCATTTATTCATTCGTTTATCCAGCAAGCATGTGGATTCGAATATACATCAAAACTGCAGAGAATGTTTCAAGATATTGGAGTTAGTAAAAATTTGATTGATCAACACCGTACATGGTGTGAAAGCAAAAAAATCAAAGAAACACGTAAGGTTCTTGGCTGATTTTGAAGAGTGTTCTAACTCTAACCATGTTTTCTTTTTTCAGTTGATTTCTCCATCATGGTTCTTAGCTCAAATTCATGGCCATTCTCAGCACCATTACCGTTTAATTTACCAGCAGAAGTAAGCTAATAGTAGAAGTTCTTTAGCAATTTTTTCTGAGTACAAGTCTTATTCTAGCTCAAACCAACATACGATAGTTTTACTGATTTTTATGCAGCTCAGCATAGTGGTCGAAAATTGACATGGTTACATCAACATTCGAAAGGCGAACTTCAGACATCATATTTGAAACAAAAATTCACATTTCAAGTAAGCTTACCTTCGTATATAGTTCCATTATGAAGAGATGTTACTGTATTCAAATAGTCATGCGGTGTTTGATGAGATATAATACTTAAATTGATCAGACTGGATTCCGAGAAAAGCCACCCAAGTCATTCTTCAAAGTTGAATTTTCTTATTGAACGTGACAAATTTTCTCTACCATATTTAAACGTCGTGTGCCAAGTTCAATGAGAACTTATTGTAAAACAGATAATAAATGTTTAAGAAACATTTCACAACTTGTCTAACTAATCATCGCTAATTTTTAGGTATCGACATACCAAATGGTTATTTTATTATTATTTAACAAATCGACAGAATATATTGTTGAAAAAATTCAAGACGAAACACAAATCAAACTCGATACCTTATTACCAGTTCTATGGTTATTATTGAAATTAAAAGTATTGGAATGTCCTAGTATTACTGATGAAGAGTTGGAAGAAGAATATAAAGAAAGTGAAATTAAAATGGATCTTGTCATCAAATTATCGAGTGGATATAAAAAGTAAATATATTTGTTCATCTGTCGAATTTTTTGTATTACATAAATTTTTGTGTTTTTTAGCAAAAAAATACGTGTTAATTTAAATATGCCATTAAAATCAGAAGTAAAACAAGATTTAGAAGGTGTACATCGAACAATTGATGAAGATCGAAAAATGGTCATACAAGTATGTTGTTTTATTAATTGATATGTGGTACTTACTCATCCTCCTTTGTTTTAGGCAGCTATTGTCCGAACAATGAAAGCAAGACAAACGTCGAAACATACACAACTTATTGCAGAAGTTCTTTCTCAATTAGCATCACGATTTAAACCAAAAGTACCAGTCATCAAAGTAAGTGGAACTTTTTTCTTTAATTTAATCTTTCATACGAACGACAGTTTTCTTCCCATTGTTTCTCTTCAGATGTAGATTACCTTGTCACTTGTAAGAATCTACATTGTAGATGTTATCTTCCTTCTATTAGGAGGTATATCTATATTTTTCGTACTATGTTAAGTGCACTAAATATGGTTGCAGGAGTGAGATCGAACTGATGAAGCTGAGCCTTGTCACCATCCTACATCGGCAACAGCAGCCGTAAGATAAGATATTCTTCGTACATTCATTTAAAAAAAAAATGGCTATACTTTTCTCCGATAGGATAAACGAAACTCAAAGCTTTAGTCTTCTCCTAATCGTATTTGATATCTTTAAAATTGACATACTTTATTTTTTTTTATTTTAGAAATGTATCGATATGTTGATTGAAAAAGAATACTTAGAACGTTTACCCAATGAAAAAGACACTTATCGTTATTTGGCTTAATAAAACAAAATACAAGAAGTCAAAAGGAAGATTACTCCACCAAAGACAGTTTTGAAGTGAAAGAAAACCGTAGTTTTTCTTAAGATTCTTTTGTATCTGTTTGGATGGTTTTTATTAGACTATTTTACTTCAGCAGTTCCCTGGTAGAATTGAACGAATGCATATTTTTTTACTATTTAGTTAACTTGTCAAAACGAGAGAGGGGAAGAGATGATGGTTTAGCGAGCTAATTTATGTTATTTTTAGACTTTATTTTTTGTACAATCTTCTCTAAAAGAAAACTGTCTGTTTCTCTTACTCCCGTCCAGCTTTGTATGACATGCCACAACAGAACAAAAGTCTTGTATGTTTATGGTTATTTTTTATATAAAAATAAGATTTTTACCGCACTTTCTTTTCTTTCTTGCTGTTACTAATTGTTGTTGATGTTGCTCATTTTGCCCTATTTAGACAAGAGCCCAAAATCTCAACTATTGTCTCCAAATTTTGTGTGTACACAATTTTTTATTTTGGATTCGTTAATTTAACTCTTGCTCTCTCTCCTATCTTTATGTACAAAACAAAACACATACATATTTATTTATTTGAGAAAATTTTATTTTCTCTTTGTTCGACCTCTTTCTCTTTGTTCCTCTTACTAAAACTAAATATTCTTCTTTGTTGTCTTTTGTTTCAATTCGACTTTCTTTTTCTTTTTCTTTTTTTTGTTATCACTGAATTTTGTTTAAAAAAGCTATTGAAAATGAAATACAAGAGAAACTAAATATAATGTGTATGAAGAAGCCTCATCATTTTTGTCTTGATTACAAGAAGTAATAAAAAAAAAAGGTTTACTTCGACAAGCAATAATGATTACACTGTTTCTAAGATAATTGTTTCAAATTCAGTGTGTTTTAAATTAAAGTAGAATATAAAGAAGGTTTTTCTAACAGTGTTTTAGAGTATTCGTTTCCGATATTTTTAATATTTAGAAGTTTGAAAAACGATACACTATTCAGCTATCTTTTCGCTTTGAAACATTGAATCAGCTATACAGTTTTATCAAATAAAATCTCAATCAATTCGAAAAAAACTAAAGACGACTTTTCATTCATTAAGAGCTTAATATCCTTGCATCAATTAGTATTTCCAGGGCTGAGTCAATTCATCACACGGTACTGTAGGACCAGAGAGTGTGTTATCATAACTGTTGACATACAGTGTTTATAACAACTATGAAAAACGCGAAAATTTTCACAAGTTTCAGCTATGATTCTATCAGTAGTATCTGGACTGAATAAGTGGATCAACATTTTTATTTCTGAAAAGGAACATACATAATAATGACAGCTGATAAAACTGCATCCGACTTGTAAGACTAGTAGTGAAGACTTTTTAGAAAATCAAAATAGAGTTTATTTTCTGATAATTAGAAAATCTTCATCAACCTTCTAAATTTAACATTAAAGTTGATTGCATAATATTAAAATTAATAAACAACAACGAAAAAATTGTTCTATTTTCCAGAAAGATTGTTAAAATCAATAATTTGACATCAGAACCGTCACAATATTGTCAGATGGATCGCAGAGGACCGTTCCTTTTTGTGATCCTTTGCTTTTCCTTGATTTATATAAATTGTATTGCTTCTTATTTTCTCACAACAACTATAACATCTTTGTTCGCGGATGATGTCTTTTGTATTGTTCCTGATACAGACGTCACTCTTATGCACGAAGCCCATACTGTACTAGACATAGTAGACTTTATGCACCATAAATTCCGCAGAGCTTAATGTGGACAGGTACGTATGTATGCCTTTTTGCAAAAATAACCATACGTTAACTTTATCGCCATTAACTCTTTGTCATAAAATCTTCTATCAGAAAAGTTTGCTGAGCTGTTAGGTGTTATATTATCTCATAATTTTAAGTGGAAAGATCACATCAGTAACATTAATACACGTTGCAGACCGACGCTAGGGGCGCTGAAACAAATGTACGGAGCAAAATTTTCCATAACTACAAAAGGTGCATTCTTCCTATCATGGATTATTGTTGACTGTTTATAATAATGGTTGCAAAACATATTTGCCTCACTCCATAAACTCGCAGCTAGACTTATTTTAAATGATTGCGTTTCTTAAAGTAACCCCTTCAATAGCTGCAATCCTTTGATTTAAGCCAAAGAAAAAAAGTCTTTCGTTCAACATATCCACATAAAATTATGACAAATAGATGTGTCCTTTGACGTTTAATTTAATCCAGCTATTCACTACCCGAGTTTCAAAACGAAACAACGAGATAACCATTGTAGGTGGAAGATACCTTCCATTTTCGAGAATACAAATTATTGGTTTCATAGGACTACATATAAAAACTGACACGATTTGACACGCAAGATAGTCTCTTCTTTCCATCCTCAGTCCTTCAAAACAGCTGTAAAGACACACCGTAATTTTCTGTAGAATATGTATTTTTAGTGTTTGCCTGGCTGTTTGTTGTTGTTTATGGTTGATGTTTGTATATATCGGGTGGCGCAGAATAAATTAGACTGTTTATATTTTTAATATTTCTTCTCCTTTTTACAGTTGATTGAGCTAGGTTTTTTAACAAAAGATTCCTCGTTGAATTCTGTACAAAAAATGTATTGAGTGTTTTATTGCAAAATCTGCAGTTGCAAAATGCCATGAGAAATTGTGAGAAGTACCAAAATGTAGAAAAAATAAACGTATTTTCTTCTAGAGAGCAAATTTTTTCGAATGGTTTCACAAGCATTAAAACACGGTTTTATATCTTTGTGTAGTTTTAAATATGCTCTTTCTCGTCATGTAGAGGGAAAATCGTTTCAATCTAAATATCCAACGCAAAGATTAACTTATCAGCAATCAAATGAAAATAGCAAAAGTTGTTACGCAGTGGAACAAAGCAAATTTTTTTTTCCAAATCTAAGACATCCGATCCTAACGACTAATCATTTGTTTTCAAAATTAAAAATATCAACCTGAATGGATCAAGTTTGACTAAGCTTTATTTGTTTTATTTGAAGGTTCAAATTATTGATAAAAAATCGTCAGTTTTTGAAAAATTGGCAGAAAAAAATGAAATTCTTGCGCCCTCACTTCTAACTGAAAATTATTTAAATTATAGATGGAAAATAGAGCTTTTCGAAGCGCACACGGTGGCTACTTCAGCTGTCCTCTCTCACAAACTTTTAGTAGATAATACTAAAAAAAACTGTAACTACGTTTATTTTTTATACATAGTGGTACTTCTCACAATTTCTCATGGCATTTTGCAACTGCAGATTTTGCAATAAAACACTCAATACATTTTTTGTACAGAATTCAACGAGGAATCTTTTGTTAAAAAGCCTAGCTCAATCAACTGTAAGAAGGAGGAGAAATATTAAAAATACAAACAGTCTAATTTATTCTGCGCCACCCGATAGTTGTCATACTTAACATTGATTGTGAGTTTTTTTCTATCTTTTGTCCCTACTCTCTCTCATGATGTTGCATGTTAATAAGTATTTACTTTTTTTTGTAGTATGTTAGCTGTATCAGCTAAATAAAATTGACTAATTATTTAGATCGGTTAATCTATCAATCCAGAAAAATCAAAATAATATTTTGATGTTACGGAAAATAGATAGTTGTGTTTTGTACAAGCCATTCAACCAAAAAACTCATCAAATAAAATTGGAAAGTCTTTGAAGTGGACGGCTGTCATTCGTTGATCAATTTTTAAAAATAAATCTCTTGCAATTATTTGAATTTGATCGTCATTTACAAAATTTTCACCACTGGTATTTTGTTCTGTATTGTGTTTATTCAAATCTCTCTGAAATTTTTCAAGAAATGTATGTTCATCCATGTTGTGATATTGATCTAACAAGTTTGAGACACGATTATTTGCTTGTTTCTTCACTTCTTGTTGTCGCTGTTCTGCTTTATCTATTTCGATCTCAACTTCTCGAATACCATCATCACAAATTTTTTGAATACTCTGTTTTTGATTTGAATGTGTCTGCTCAACTTGTTTAAAATCACAGGCTATCTCATCCAAAGCCTAACAAGAGAAATAATTTCCGAAGCAAAATGCTATACACAGAGATGGGCAACTCCGGTTAAGTTCAACTCCAACTCAACTCTAACTCCGCAGATCCCAATTCCAACTCCGTTTCAACTCCAATAGGAACTTATTTTGTCTTGATTCATTTTCTCCTTTATTTTATATGTGATCACTGCAGAAAGCGACAACGCTGCAATGTTTTCTTTTATTCGCTCAATCGAGATCATATGATCATCGGTAGCATATATACACATAAGTTTAACATATTCAGAATATATAAACGTTGAACATATGTTAATATTGCTTTTATGTGATGTAACAAAAACAAACAAAATTTTCAGAGTTGCAAAAATTTTTAACTGGAGTTGTGGAGTTGGAGTTGAAAAAATCTGAACTCAACTCAACTCTAATCTAATAAAAACGAAACTCCACCTCTACTAAAAAGAAGCTCAACTCCGGAGTTGGAGTTGCCCATCTCTGGCTATACATAACCAGAACACGATTAAGTGATCGAGAAAACTGACAATAGAAATAGCTGAAAAAGCCGATGTCCAGTAAATCCTTCATTTTAAAACAAGTAGTAACTAACCTTGTCTAACTGATTTTTAAATATTAACGTATTTGTACATAAATAATTTCGTGTTTCTTCTCTACTGTCCATATAATCGACAACTGGATACCAATTTGCTCGTGCATATTGTTCTAAAATTCTTTTTCGATTATTGAATTTACTAAATGTTGTTGATATTGTTTCTTGAAAAAATGGTTCATTGTTATTCAAAGAGAGAAGCAGATATTTAACTGCTTGATCTTGCTCACTATCAACATCCGTTATTAATAAAGGTTTTGCTAAATTTTCTTCGAACTGATTATCTCGACTCAATATTATGATAATGTCATCAAATGAATTGAATGCTGATTTTTCAACATGATTTTTTAGATCATCGGCGTTCTTATTATAATCATTTGTCAATAATCGATTTAATTTTTCTATGGATATTCGAAGCCACGTCTGTAGATTGTGAATAAATTTATATTGTAAATTTGTTGTTGGATGTCTCATATCGTTAAGCAATTCAATATCAGTCGTGAAAATACTAAGAAGAACAAATGGTACGCAAGAGAATTGTTTTGGATCAACAACTTTTTCTTTAATCAATTGAAATACCAAATTAGGATAGAAAAAGTTTGTAAATGCATTACATATTTCGGTCCATTTTTTTGTTGTGTTCAATGCTTGTTTGAACAAATAAAGAACACTCGAACTATTGGAATTACTACAAAGAGTTAAGCTACGTAATACTGATAACGTCTAGTAGCAGAAAGTTACCTAATTTGTTCTACATAATTTTCATCTAAATCATCGTCATCAGAATAAAGTTCACCATTTTCATCAACCGGTGGATCATATCGAACACAATATGAAGCGTCAATTTCGGCATTATTATTTAACTGCACACATTTATTTTCATCTGTAAAAGTGGAATACTATCATTGAATTAGTCTGTTTTTAAAGTTCTCATTAATGTTTACCTGCCATTGATCTTTAAGGCCAAATGCTCATACTGAATCTGCGTTTATTCAATTATTCCTTACACAAGATCACGTGCCACAGATGAACAGTACTGTTTTTCTCAGCAGTAATTAGAGCAAATATGTCTACGATACATTCTAAACTCAATCCTATTTAGAATGCAGCTCGTCGTTCCGTTTACATTGTCGACATTGTCAACGATTGTTGTCCTAGTGGAACTTCTTGTACCCAAGAAATGTCACAAGATCTTGGAAAAAATACCAAGAAATCAAGATCTTGGATTCTTGAATCTTTCACTCAAGATCTTGGAAACAGAAGTTTCAAAATGTTGGGTTGCTCAAGATGTTGCAAGATCTTAGGTGGAAACTTTTCTTTACATTTCGTTTTCGTTTATGACAGTCATGGTCAGCAGATAGTATTCGCACTTTTATTTATACAAGAGTGTAAAACAAAACGATGATCAAGATCTTAGTAGAAGAAGTGAAGAACTTACAAGATGTTCAAGACCTTGAATTCTTACATTTTCTTATCAATATCTTACTAAAAAAATTCAAGAAGTCAAGCTCCTGGCTACAAGAAGTTCCACTGAGAAAAAGAAAAAAGATCCTACAGTTCTTCCATTAATAAATCTGAAAAAAAACGCGCACAACAACACACAAGAAACTAGATTGCAACTGCGCTGCGCAAAGGTTGCGATGTCGACAGATTCTGTCTCTGCTGGCAG